AAGTTTGCTATAGACACAATAGTACCTGTTTAGATATACTCGCCCTAAACAGGTACACACTGAAATCTCACGTGAGAGGTAGCTGACAGGGCTTGTGGTAGCTATGGTATATCCGCCCTTGACAAATTTGCTATAGAAACAATAGTTTCCGTTTAGATATACTCGCCCTAAACGGAAACACTTAAATCCCATGTGAAAGGTAGATTAACACATCACTGCATATATTAATCCAACTTTGGAGTGTAGTACCCCTTTTTAGATATACTCGCCCTAAAAGGGGGTACACACTGATGATCTGATAAAATAAGCACACTGTGAAAACGTTGATTCACAAAATATCTGGTACTGACTTGCATAATGATACTTGAGCCTTGCGTAGAATATGATGAGGGGTGCGAATGTACCGGCAGTAGCTATCCGATTGCCTGCGTCCCAACACCTTGATAAGGTGATCGGGGATATCAGACTGTGCGGCGGTAGTAGCGGCTCCTATACGAAAAGAATGGCCACTGTACAAAGTGTGATTGAGGCTCAATCGATCCAAGGTCTGTCTTAACTTGTCGATAAACACTTGGCGAGTCAAGGGAGCCGATTTGATGGAGAAAAGGGGGTCTGTAGGGGTACAACCTGTCATGTACCTGTCTGCCAACATTCTGATGATAGCAGCAACTGCACACACTTGCTGGTGGGTGCGGAAGAGGTGAATAGTGACCCCATGTCGAAAGGGGTCTGTCTTGGATGCCTTGAGGTGCAAGTCTAGGCTGTTACTATCGGGTGCTACCTTCACATCGCTTATACATAGATGGAAGGAAGGATTAAATGAGTTTGTAAGACAAGTAAATTCTCCACATCTTAAGAATGCAAAGAAAGCTACACAGCAAGCTGCCTCCAAAGTAATGTCTGTGGCAGGGTCGAAAACACCTTGGCGAAAGGCTGAACATACTTTTGTCAATATGTTGTATGTTATGGGTAGCCTCGGTTTGGCAGGAGTTCCCTGCAACTTCTTCAAACCCCGTAATATTGTTTGAAGTCGATAAAGTGGTAGTCCATGAGAATTCACAAGTGGGTTTTCTAGTCCCAGTGCTGTACAATGGTACTTAATACCGTACAGATATAGTTTAATTGTTGAGTATTTCAACTTGAGGTTATAGTAACAATGTGTGACAAAGAATATCAGTATTTCCTCTGTCACGTCGCTAAACACACTTGCTGGGTTATTGTTTATACCATACAAAAGGATGAAGTTCTTGAAGCAGGATGCTCCTGATGAGTAGGTAACTCTGGTTGACTGAGCCACTGCAGCATTCCACAGGTCACGCACTGATGGTCCTAATACAGAGGCACATTGCTGTAGTCCGAAATAGGCTCTGGATGTACCTCTGCAAATGGAGCAAGCTGGTGGAATCGGTCCATCTGGAAACGAGATAGAGCATCAGCTACAATATTCTGTTTACCTGGGATATGCACAGCAGTAAGGGCAAAATTGTTAGTAAAAGTACACCATGTTAGACGTCGCATAATGGGCATAATGTAAGCACATTTTTGAACGCCCTTTCTTGATAATATTGACCGTTGCCTGGTTGTCACAATGTAATTTGATTCTGAGGCCTGTCCACTCATGTCCCCATATCATAGATGCTAGTACAATTGGGTACAATTCCATGAAGGCTATTGACATTTCCGAATTGTCCAGAGATAATTTGTGTGGCCAGCGGCCCTGGAACCACCGCCTGTGGTAATAGGCACCGAAGCCTGTTCCTCCTGCCGCAGCTGTGTAGAGGTCTATATCATGTGCCAACTCCTGAAGGAAGACTGAACGTCCATTCCATTGCTCCATGAAGGAATACCACATGAACAAGTCCTGCCTGCATGCTTGAGTGAAGTGTACATGATGATGTAACTTCTTGATAGAGGCGGCTAGGGTCAAAAGATATGAAATAAAAGAACGTCCTGGTGTGATAACCTTACTGGCAAAGTTTAAGTGGCCTAGGAGGCTCAAGAGTTCACGCTTGGTAACTGATTTTTGTTCACAGAATGATTTAATCGTTTCAATGATCCGCTGTTGTTTATTTAATGGCAGACGCGCTTCCATTTTATCAGTATCCAGGATGATTCCTAGAAATTCTAAGCTTTCACACGGTCCAATAGTTTTGTGTGGTGAAATTGTTATATTGAGTTTCAGAAAAACCATAGACAGAATAGCCATTGTCCGTTCAGCTACTTGGTGTGGTGCTTCGATTGTCAGAAAGTCATCCAGGTAATGAACTACAGTTGTGGGAACGCACAACGTTACACGATGTACGGTGTGCGCACGATGTGTACACGGTGTGTGAACGATGTGTGCACGATATGCGAACGATAAAAATCTGGGCGATCAAATCTTGCGTACATTTGTGTGCACGATGGACCGTGAACGTTGTGCGATAACAATCGTGGTTGGTGTAAATTGAGGAATGCCTCAACAATATATATGGTTTCGTGTTTAAACATATAAACCTGATTTTTACGTATGTTTCTATATTCTACCTACACCTATAAACTTATCTTTATATCTATACTTTCTTAAATTTAGAAATTGTGTTGTTTTTTTTATTTTTAACCGACCTTAATCGACACCTGTGAAATCAAAACACAGTCCTGCATACAGGTAAACAGAGCCACTAGCCGTCTACATGTACGTATACCTGGACGTTAGTTTTCCCCCGCCCGGGGCGCTTACGTATTTCTTCGGGTTGGGCCAGGGGTGTGAAAACACAGGTGAAGGGGAGCTATAGGCAAACCGAATGCAAATAACAAATACTAAGCGTCCAGCTGTGTTTTCATTACGGTCATACGGTATCGCATATCAGCTCTATGTGTCAGGTACAGGCCAGGTCAAACCCCGGTAACTCATCAAATTGTTAATTACATATTCTGTTACCTTGGCGCGAAACCCATTCTTGACAGTCTAACGGTCACTGTAATGCTGTGTTACACGCATTGTACAACTGTACATAATCTTCATTACTGTGATGANACTTAATATGGGATTGGAAATACTGTACAATCCTCGAAGCACATAAGGATTGGTAAGACAAACAGTTAAATTTTTGGACTAGATTAAGATAAGAGTCAATCAGACCTATTGGAAACTATCTGGATAGGATAGAGTCAATCAGACCAAACGTACAATCCCTTGACAAGATAGGGTCAATCAGACCTACTGAACACTCCCTGGACAAGATAGGGTCAATCAGCCCTATTGTACACTCCCTGGACAAGATAGAGTCAATCAGACCTACATAACACTCCCTGGACAAGATAGAGTCAATCAGCCCTATTGTACACTCCCTGAACAAGATAGAGTCAAACATTTCTACTTTATACACTACCTGTGTAGGCACAAGATAGGGTCAGTGAGACCTGTGGCAAGGATACCTGAGATGTTACTGTATACCCTAATCTTTTATTACTGCACACTTTCTAGGCAGTACTTTAGACTTTACATACCATAGACCTTTGATACTGTAGTGTCAGTCATATACTCATACACCTATTGTAAAGCTAGGGTAACATAAACATTTCAATCAAATCTTTTATTGTTTTCAGATCCTCCATTGTGTCTATGCAGGTGTGGCTGCTCTTGTTTTCACCTTGGTAAGCTGGGGAAACAATGTAAATTAGATGTATGCATAGATACGAAACCAACAAGTATTACTTCTTTTTGTGAATATTGAACCATGTGTTTACATGATGCTGTTGTCACATTATAAGGCATATTATACAGTGCCCTCCTGATCCTCCAATGAAGTTGGGGGGTGTAATGGAAGACAGAATTAGCTTGTCAGTCTTTCTGCCTATTGATGCAATCTTTACATTTGTCATGCATTATTATAACATTGTAAGAAAAAAACCTAGTTATTGTCATTATGAGACTTTTAACTAGGTAACATTACTATGTTTTCGATAATTATACGTCCAATACATAGTATCAAACTACAAAATATGTAAATTTGTTTTGTCGCTATGAAATCTATAACTGTATATTTTGAATATACAGCAAATTATAATGAGCTCCATTTGGTGACAGTCAGACTACATACCTTTGTGTGTTGATCACACTGGTCATTGTAAACCTCTTTCATGTTTCAGTTTCTGGTTTATGACACACAAATGATTGTCGGAGGCCGCAAGCATGAACTGAGTCCGGAGGAGTACATCTACGGTGCCCTACAGCTCTACATCGACGTTGTTTACATTTTCCTTATCATACTTTCTTTATTTGGAAAATCTAACTAGACTTGTGATGTGTCTTTGTATAACAGTGTACTATCAGACAATCCCCCACCTGTATAAGCTACAGATTTCTAAAGTCAATGGAACGTCATTCTATTATTATGTACAATGTGGTCTAGATTGATGAAAAATGTAGACGTTGTACATGTATGTTAATGAAATATAGGGGATTCCAGGTTTTCTTTACTTTAAGTTTTGAAAAGTCATTAATTCATTAAAATAATGATGGTGACAACAATTCAATTTCTATGTAAAAAGTTGAGATTATAAATAAAATTTAAATTTAGCAGCATCAAGATCACTTTATAATATAAAATTGGTTTTCAGGATCCCCACCACTTTCCTATTGTATACTGTAAACACTTCTTGAAAAGTTCATTTCCTGTTCAAATTATTTTTTCCTTTTTGTTCCTCTTTTGGGGGGTGAATATATATTTCTTTGGTACATACTCCTTGCTGTAGAAAATGGGAAAGCAGGTTCAAGTAAAAAAAAAAAAAAACTAAATGGAAGTCTTGGTGGGTATACACTACAGATTGCTAAGGCGTTCTACCTTAAAATGTGTCCACTTTACACCACTTTCCAGAAGCCAAAGCTTGGTGAACACATACTTTATACCCGTATATTTTTACTGCAGTTTATTTTTTTTGCATTTTTCACTCTCCCGAATGAGGGCAAGTGACAGTGAATTTTAGCAAATAACATACAATATATAGTATAATTACACGTGGAATGCTAAAATTACACTGAGTCAACATTGGCAAAGAGTGAATATTTGACAGGGCGGAAGATTCCCAGTATACGGTATGTTTTTAGTTTGCCGATCTAACCCCAATCTTTTCACACATATATAGTTTGTTATAATAATCCTGTGTTTCATTGCCAATAATACACTTACCTTATGTGTAGTTTTATTAACATCAAAAATATACCACACTTCTGAAGAGAGATATTGCCATTACTGATATCACAACTGTAGTTTTGTTGATATCAATAATGTCATGATTATTTTAATGTAAATGTTTTGGCACCAAATATGTCAAATCTGGTTTTTAATAACACCAAAAGTGACACATATTTTCAGCAAGATAGTGTCATTAGTGATGTTGCAGCTGTGACAACTTGTGACAAGTGGGATTTCATTCACATCGGTGAATATTGTCAAGTTTGGTTTCATTAACAGAAATGGTGCCACATGATAACGAGTAAAGTGTAATTTGATTGCATTACCAACGTCATCACAAGTCTAATATTAATTTACATTTAAAATTTAGCTCTGTGTGTTATTTCATCAACACCAATGTGTATTGAGTAAAAGATTATTTCATTAACACCAGTGATGGCCACATTATGATGTGTTGTCTCATCAACACCCCTGGTGTGGATTATGTTAAGTGTGATTTCATCGACACAAACAATGTCCATTGTACGATACTGGATTAATTAACACCAGTGATGGCCACACTATGATGTGTTGTCTCATCAACACCACTGGTGTGGATTATGTTAAGTGTGGTTTTAATGACACAAACAATGTCCATTGTACGATATTAGATTAATTAACACCAGTGATTTTGTTATTGCACTGATACATTAATGTCCACAGTGTTATATCTACTTCCATTGACACCAGAGATTTGATAGATATCTGTTCATGTGAACAAGAATGATATCTCAACATGTTGAAATATGCTAAAAGGTTCATTAACAAATCTTAACTGTCATGTTTTGTATATCGATTGCATGGTCATGCTGCCAGGGTGCAGATAACAGAACATGATTGCAGATAAAAACAGTTAAATTTATTATAAATGTTTACCTCTTTATTGAAATATAGCTGTTTAGATATATATATTTCCCTCATAAATGCTGTTAGTTTCATCATTCATAAGGCCTGATTTACTGTTTGGTCGTAATGTCTTTATTTATAAGAGCAGGGGTGAAACAAATTATTGATGACCGTGTATTGTATGTTTTTGTTTTAAGTTGTGTAACCTACTTTGTAGGACTAAATGTAAATGATCACTGTTCACTCATTGGTTACCTAGTCTACTTGTTTCTAATCGATGAAGGAGCATTTTGTACCTATTGTAATTGTAATGGTACTTATATTTTCATTTCATTTTTTGTCTTTATTTTTATAAAATTGTCTCATTCTGATATTTGTGGTATATTTTGTCATTTGTCATTTATAATCAAATGGCTTTAATGAAGTTACAGTTCTGTCATTTTTCTGTAATTTTAATGGACCATAAGAGTTAAAAATAGATATTAAAGAATATTGTTATATTATTCTTGGTCACAAATAAAACAAAATTGGTTTAATTATTTTATATAGCTTATTTGTTTATTCCTGTAATGCATGTTACTCACTGCATCTTGTGACATTTTTCGTACTATATATCGAGGGTTGATTGGAGTAAGGACATGTTTCCATTTTTTGTAACATTACGCTCTAACACTCATCTCTTCTATTGATATGTAGATATCATTGTTAGCTTTTTATAATAACATCTGTGATAAACTGTTTTCATTTACATCATTGTTAAACACATATTATTATTATATTAGAGTTGCTTTAAATATAAATCTACAATTAGGCATTATTGCTTGATTACTAGTATAAGAGTATATCTTTTCATTTATGATGGAAAATCCTCTATTAACTACAAACTATTACAGGTAGTTGTGTTGACTTTGGTTTGTATCATACCAAGTGAAAACATGATTAATATAGTTAAAATAAATATAAATCTTAATGTTTTTCAACAAAGACGGTATCATACACAATATGCAATGTACAGAGCATTGCTATTTCATATTAGACATACATGTATTAAAATCTCAAAAAATATTTGATATACAAAGAAGAACTTCTAGAAAGAAAGTAATTGATTTCCTATAGTGAAATATAGATCTTCTTGAAAGAAAGTAATTGATTTCCTATAGTGAAATATAGATCTTCTTGAAAGAAAGTAATTGATTTCCTATAGTGAAATATAGATCTTCTTGAAAGAAAGTAATTGATTTCCTATAGTGAAATATAGATCTTGAATATTCTTGGACTTACAAATAGATACTGAACGATATCTGGTACCACCAGATGCATACATTTGTGTATTTTGTTTAAAGTGTTTGGAAATAGCAGACCTTAACATTGTTGTTTTACGTGGTATGTATATAAGTCACATATGTACAATACATGTTATGTACATGTGTATAATTATTTAAGGTGTTTGATGATTAAACCCATTCAAATTTCTTTAAGATCATTTTAACTATTTCGTTTTTTAATGAATAGCAAATTGATGTTAACGAAGAACAACACCATGGAGAGTGTTACCTTTTCCTAGGTAATTTGTAAATGTGTTCTGATGTTTGTCAATGGATAGACTTTGTAGGTAGACATTCAAACTGATCTTGTTGGTACTATATTGGTTTCATAAAAGTGAATAGTTTTAATATAACAAGAATTCTTTTTAGAACTTGCAATTGTTTTTCTAAGTGTAAAGGAAAGTCTACCGGGGTATAGTGCACCTGCTTCTAAATGTTTAAATTCTGAATATATAACATTAACAATGACCCTCCTTTTTCTTACTCCGAAAAAGCACTAGTTTATTATGTACAACATTTTCTCTACTGTTAGATTTAATATAAAACTTAGAAATTGTAATTCATATGAAACAGCATATCGTGGTCTAGCTTCTGTACAAAAAAATATATACATTTTGTATTCAAGTTTGTTGCATCCAACATTTAGTCTACTGTAGAGAAAATATATACATTTGGTACTAGTCCTCTTGTTTGTGTTATCCAACATTTGATCATCTGTACATAAAGACGTAATATGCTAAAGCATTAGTTTGGAGACATTTTTCATAAAGAATGTGTGTAAAACTTAAGTCAGAAAAACAAACAGTGTATTGTATAAATCTATACAATCCTCTTGCCTTCACTAATTGCCTTAAACGGCGTTTGTGTATAGAATTGTTTATTATGAAAGATATATTTTTAACATGCTTTGTTTTGAAAAGTTCAGCTGTCGTTTTAAGTTTAGCTCAGTTGGCGAACATTTCTTACCTAAAAGTCTTTTAAAGTTGATGGTGATCATCTCTCATTTTCGCTTGCTCATTAAATTTGGCTCATTGAATCCAAAAAAAGGACATATTTCAAGTTTTTTCCGAGGTACTTCTAAAACGACGACTGTTTAATATTAGACAAAGTACTTAGCTAATTTAGGTTGCAAACGTTGATCAATTTAGGTTGCAAACGTTGATCAATATTAGAGAAAAATAACCTACAAGACAGGTTTCTAATTTCATGTTTTAAAAGTTCTAAAATTGCTTACCTCATGCAGATATGGCCTGGAGATAGTTCAGTTAATTTTTACAACCGAATCGCTATAAATCACTATATGTTTTGATTATAACAGCGATTTACAGTTGTATCCTGTTAGTACAGTGTATATAAATGTTGATCAAAATCGCCCCTCACCTCATGAATCTGTTTACTTTCAAATTGTTATAGAAGAACTGTTTTGATGAGGGTTTAAATTCATGTACAGTATTGTTTATTACTATTATGTCTTATTATGACATTTGTTGTTTATGATTTTATATATTTAACCATATTTACACTCTATAAAGAACTGCACACAAACAATGTATGTTGTACATGGAAATGAATACATTTTAAATAGAATAAGTAAAATAAACTTATTTTTTAAATTGTCCGACCAATACTCAAATGTATAATTTGTCTTTGTATCTTGATAAGGCATTATCAAATTGAATCTGATGACGAAAAGGCAAAATGTTAAAGACTGGCACTTTTTAGCATTCATGTGGCACAACGTTAAACTGTGATTTCATAATCGGGAACAATTTAATTTGGTAGCTTACCTTTTTTTGATTGAAATTGTCATCAATATGAAAAGTTTTTTCTGACGTTTTACTCGATATGGAGTTGTATACGCCCATCAAATGTTTTGACAAGACGCATTACGATATGAGGAGCGTCCGTCTATCAATGATTTAGTTTCCGCCAGGTTTCCGCTTCAATCTCGTGAAACTGTAATGAAACTTTGTATGAATGTACTTACATTATACGAAGATCAAGGATACGTTCGAACAAGAGCCAAGTTCGTGCATTAATAATCGACATACTGTGCTCTGATTGCTTAATTTCCAAACTTTAGTTTCTGCAAGATAACTTGCTCAAGTATCACTTATTTTTGATTTTGATTGAAATTTGGTTTAAACAAAGGTTGAGGCTAAGTTCGAAGTTGAGCAAACTTTGAGCGTAATTAATTAGCATATTGTTTTCTGATAAGCGGACAATTTCTGCCCAATAATTTTGTCAGATATGAACGGATTCTGATGAAACTTGGTCAAGATTTATATTATTCAATGACAAAGGCTAAGTTTTAAAATAACCAAAACCTGCATTATTCATTGTCATGCTGCTATCTGATTTGTTGACGATTTCCGCACAACAACTTAGTTAAATTCGACAGGATTCTGATGAGACTTGGTCAATATTTACCACTGTTTAAAAGCAATATCTGCAAGTAATTAATGAACAACAAAAAAAAACTAAGGCTTCTTCTCCTTACATTTCCATACTTTCATACAGTTACATGTAGAAACAATAATACACCAGGGGAATTTAAGTATATCAGATTGGTATGGGACGGGCGTATATATTGTTGCGCCCTGCGGTTCTCTTGTTCAACAGTGTTTGCTATATGTCACACATATTTTCAAATACGACAATTGGTGGAATGTCCGTTTAATCAAAGTAATACCGTTTGTAAAGTGAAATTTCTGATAATAACGGATTAACATCGTGCCAACGGTTATACAGGTATTGATAACAAGTATGTGTGGAAAATATGTTATTAATATTTCCGGTGTCTGATTAATGGGCAAAATGATGATAAAGATGATGGGGAAGGTCACCTTACTGTTGTACGGCATCCGAATAGTATTCGTACCTGTACCATTATGTCTTGTGTTGTGGATTTTTTCCCGCTACAGTATGTGGCCAGTTTCACTTACAACAGCCTCTGCTCTTTTACTCTTGCGAGGCGGAGATGCTTTGACGGCAAGTTTATGTGGCACTTTGGTGATGGTAATAAAATACATTTACAGATGTAATCAATTCGGTGTGATCGAGTGTTGATATGCTTTACTATATGACCAAAGAGACTGGTTTTGTACACGTTCACGTGTATATTATGGTTAGTGATGTACATAATTAATCGACGTGGTCTTTGACATTACTTTTTCGAAGTTTTAACTTCCAAATATCGATGATCTTAAGTAACGTGCTTCCAAAAAAACTTAAGGAATCCCCCCTCGTGATAGCCAGATATCAAATTTGATGTCACCCTATTACCTATGTGCAATTACCGTGTAATCTTACGGTCTTCCTTTGAAGGTTTGCTAAGAAGGGATATACCAAAGCACGTCCTACAATTTGATCTCGATTCTGTGACTAGACATTTCATCTTATATTCTAAACATTGTTGTATTTTTCCATTTATTGTCATTTCAGAAGATATATATTTGTACACGAGCCTTCACAAGAGAATGGTTTTAATAAAATCTTAATATTGTGAAATTTCGTCATTCGTTTTATTTTCATTACTCGTTGTTTGGATATTTAATTAATGCTGTCCTATAAATTGACCTGACTGTTCGATGTTTCGTTAGTATCGCTACTCTAGTTAGAATTGATGCGTCGTCATTTGTTATCCGTTTACGAACATTAGCGCTTGTCAGTTTTTGCTTTTGACCTTCTATACATATAATTAGTCATTGCTTTACAGACTTAATCCTTATCCGATAAAACTTGAAATATATTTTCAAGTGCATCACCACTTTTCGAGATCACTGTTACTGTGGTGTTATATTTGACCTTTGACATTGGGGTAGAGGTATTATAAAGCTATGCAGCAAGTAATTCATCAGCGCCAATCGTTTTCGGTTTTCGTGTTATATGAACTATATTGTGAAACTCTTCCCCTGAATGGTGTTCGTAAGATGAAATATTTATCATTTAATAAATTGGAAGGGTTTTAAACCCATTCGTTCTGTTTCAGCAGTAGTGTAGACCAATTTGATTTCCACCTTTTTGGTCCCCTACCATATATCGCCCATAAGTCTTGGAAGGACGAACAGCTGTATGGTGCAGTGACGTGCATTTTTGGCCTACTGTATATATATAACCACATAGTATAGGTTCTCACCTGTGTGTTACGTTTTTGGCCTGCTGTATATATATAACCACATAGTATAGGTTCTCTCCTGTGTGTTACGTTTTTGGCCTACTGTATATATAAACCACATAGTACAGGTTCTCACCTGTGTGTTACGTTTTTGGCCTACTGTCTATATATAACCACATAGTATAGGTTCTCACCTATGTGTTACGTTTTTGGCCTACTGTATATATATGTAACCACATATTATAGGTCCTCACCTGTGTGTTACGTTTTTGGACTACTGTATATATATAACCACATATTATAGGTTCTCACCTGTGTGTTACGTTTTTGACCTACTGTATATATATAACCACATAGTACAGGTTCTCACCTGTGTGTTACGTTTTTGGACTACTGTATATATATATATAACCACATAGTATAGGTTCTCTCCTGTGTGTTACGTTTGTGGCCTACTGTATATATATATATAACCACATAGTATAGGTTCTCGCCTGTGTGTTACGTTTTTGGCCTACTGTATACATATAACCACATAGTACAGGTTCTCACCTGTGTGTTACGTTTTTGGCCTACTGTATATATATTACCACATATTATAGGTTCTCACCTGTGTGTTACGTTTTTGGCCTGCTGTATATATATAACCACATAGTATAGGTTCTCTCCTGTGTGTTACGTTTTTGGCCTACTGTATACATATAACCACATAGTATAGGTTCTCACCTGTGTGTTACGTTTTTGGCCTACTGTCTATATATAACCACATAGTATAGGTTCTCACCTATGTGTTACGTTTTTGGCCTACTGTATATATATTACCACATATTATAGGTTCTCACCTGTGTGTTACGTTTTTGACCTACTGTATATATATAACCACATAGTACAGGTTCTCACCTGTGTGTTACGTTTTTGGCCTGCTGTATATATATAACCACATAGTATAGGTTCTCTCCTGTGTGTTACGTTTTTGGCCTACTGTATATATATTACCACATATTATAGGTTCTCACCTGTGTGTTACGTTTTTGACCTACTGTATATATATAACCACATAGTACAGGCTCTCACCTGTGTGTTACGTTTTTGGCCTACTGTATACATATAACCACATAGTACAGGTTCTCACCTGTGTGTTACGTTTTTGGCCTACTGTCTATATATAACCACATAGTATAGGTTCTCACCTGTGTGTTACATTTTTGGCCTACTGTATATATATAACCACATAGTACCGGTTCTCACCTGTGTGTTACGTTTTTGGACTACTGTATATATATATATAACCACATAGTATAGGTTCTCACCTATGTGTTACGTTTTTGGCCTACTGTATATATAAACCACATAGTACAGGTTCTCACCTGTGTGTTACGTTTTTGGACTACTGTATATATATAACCACATATTATAGGTTCTCTCCTGTGTGTTACGTTTTTGGCCTACTGTATATATATATAACCACATAGTATAGGTTTTCACCTATGTGTTACTTTCATTATTAAAACAATATTGATAGAAATCTGAAAAATCTATTTGTGTGGTTATTGTATGGATTTGTTTAAAATAACACCCAAATCAATATTTTCATCTAAAACATTTTGAGTAAATAAATCCTCTTGGTATGAATTGAGCGGATCATAAAGTGAAATTCTTATTGCAAATAACGACAAAAAAAAGTTCAAACGTCTATCGACAAACGAAAGGTATCATTCGCATCGTACCATTTCGTCATGAACTTAGTACAGCTGGTTGAATTGTCGTAATCCGCCCATTGATATCACTCATATCTGAGTAGCACAAGCACAACACAATCCGACTGGTGTTGTATTGTTGATTGCAATACGGAACAGGTCAAAGAAAAGGTTGTTACTGTAAACTATTTTAAGATAGGCAATTAGTTTTAAGGATAACTACTAACATTTAAGTTGATGACGGTAGAACACTTGTCGCAGCTGTTATTGATATACACTGTACGGTATATTGTTTTCATGAAAGTGAGATGAATGAAATTTTCTTATTCGTTTGATACATAACGAAGCTTCAATTATTATAAAACTTGTTCGTTAATACAGCTTATGAATGATTAAACAATTTGTAAATTTCCTCTAAATAAAGTTATATTTATTGTATATTAAAACACAAATGCACAAAAAGATATAGTAATTGTTTTAACATTACATTACATGTTAAAGGCATGGTCAAACAAAACACTACACCATGCTACATTGTACATATGTAAAATCTAAAAGTGAAGAATGTATATGGATTTTGAATTTTAGGTAATTCTAATTAATCTCTATGTTGTGATCATATAATGATTCCTTAATTTCTAAAATGGTTTCCTGCACCACTCAGGAAAGTATATATGTAGGTCATTAAAAATAGAGGCCATTTTGACGATTGCAGTCATTGTATTGCAGATGAAATTATCTCAATTAGAAAAGCTATGTCCTGTCTATTTGTGGAAACTGTTTATAATATTTGAAATAACTTTACACAACGCAGACTGATTTATGTTTTTCTCTGTGGAGAATTGACCCTTAGATAAATTGTTTTAAAGCCAAAGTATTATAAAACTGCTATTGATAAGCTTTTGTCCTGAAGTGAATGAAATTTCCTTATCGTTTTCACTTAAAGCAGCTGACTCTGCCATTAAAGGAGTGTCGATTTCGGTACTTCATGAATTAAGTTTCCTATAGTTACGCAGACGTGCACGTTTTAACATTATCTAGATATAGCTATGTCTTTAACCATAAGTTAAGCCGTTACATGTGGAATACTGTAAATCAATCAGTGAAATTCAAATTTGCGAATTAAAAAAAAAGTCAATATTCTATTCTCAGTCATGAAATCAACAATGCTACATGTACCTCGTCAATCAACTCGTTTCAATATTACTCATTACTTTGTCAACAGACGTACCAATATTCTGTATTTAAAAAAAAATACAAACCATCATGTCAACAGACATACCAATATTCTGTATAACTTTGTCAACAGACATACCAATATCCTGTATAACTCTGACCACAGACATACCAATATCCTGGATAACTCTGTCAACAGACGTACCAATATCATGTATAACTCTGACCACAGACATACCAATACCCTGGATAACTCTGTCAACAAACATACCAATATCCTGTATAATTCTGTCAACAGACATACAAATATACTGTATAACTCTGTCAACAAACATACCAATATCCTGTATAACTCTGTCAACAGACATACCAATATCATGTATAACTCTGTCAACAGACATACCAATATCATGTATAATCTGTCAACAGACATACAAATATTCTGTATAACTCTGTCAACAGACTTACCAATGTCCTGTATACTCAATCAACAGACGTACCAATATCCATTATAACTCTGTCAACAGACATACCAATATCCTGTATAACTCTGTCAACAGACATAATATACCAATATCCTGTATAACTCTGTCAACAGACATACCAGTATCCTGTATAACTCTGTCAACAGACATACTAATATCCTGTATACTCTGTCAACAGACATACCAATATCCTGTATACCTCTATCAACAGACGTACCAATATACTGTGTAACTCTGTCAACAATCATACCAATACCCTTTATATCTCTGTTAACAGACATACCAATATCCTGTATAACTTTGTCAACAGAAATACCAATATCCTGTATAACTCTATCAACAGACGAACCAATTTCCTGTATAACTCTGACCACAGACTTACCAATATCCTGTATAACTCTGTCAACAGAAATACCAATATCCTGTATAATTCTGTCAACAGACATACCAATGTCCTGTATAATCTGTCAACAGACATTCCAATATCCTGTATAACTCTGTCAATATACGTACCAATGTCCTATATATTGTCAACAGACGTATCAATATGCTGTGTGACTCTGTCAACAATCATACCAATATCCTGTTTAACTCTGTCAACAGAAATACCAATGGCCTACTGTATATATATAACCACATAGTATAGGTTCTCACTTGTGTGTTACGTTTTTGGCCTACTGTATATATATTACCACATATTATAGGTTCTCACCTGTGTGTTACGTTTTTGGCCTACTGTATATATATAACCACATATAGGTTCTCACCTGTGTGTTACGTTTTTGACCTACTGTATATATATAACCACATAGTACAGGTTCTCACCTGTGTGTTACGTTTTTGGCCTACTGTATATATATAACTACATGGTATAGGTTCTCACCTGTGTGTTACGTTTTTGGCCTACTGTATATCTCTAACCACATATTATATGTTCTCACCTGTGTGTTACGTGTTTGGCCTACTGTATATCTCTAACCACATATTATAGGTTCTCCCCTGTGTGTTACGTTTTTGGGCTACTGTATATATATGACC